GAGAAAGGAGAACTCAGAAATGCAATAGCCAGTGGTTTCACTGAACTACCTATGGTTATATTAATAATTGTTTTAATGTAATTTGTTTAATTTATGAGTGAATGCAATGTGTTTAATGGTGATCTAAAGAGCTCCCATGTATACAGTAACTGGTTACTGCAACAATGTAAGTGATGTACCTTGTTCAAGAGTACTACTTCATTATCCCACCCAGGACACACATCCTTCCAATAGGGCTTCTAGAAACCAAACCCTTACCTGACACTGGTCTGCAAATCTAGAAGTATTTCTAATCAGGGTATTTCTGTATCTCTGTTTGTACATAATGAAGAGCATGTGAAAGATACTGGAGATATCGATATTAAAGATCTGTGTGCATGTGCAGTGCAGGCCCAATTGGACAATTGCTCCGGTTCATGCAGCTCAGGCTCTTCTCTGCAATGAACAGAAGAAGGTGCTGAAACTGAATGCAATTTTTCAGTGCATGATCCTTACCTTTAGTAGCATGATGTCATGAACTTTATCTGTATTGTGAAAACATGGATGAGGCACTGTATTTTTCACTTTCCTGATTTGAATTTCTTTGTCATTCTTTGAACGAGCATGAACTCCTAGCAGGACTTTCATACTGCTGTTGAAGAAAACGGAGACAAGGGTTCTTCATCAAACCTTTCTTAAGAAAGAAATGTATCATATCATTGCATAAATATGAATAACATTTGCAAAACATAGACATACTGTACAGCACATTGTCTGCTTTTGTTTGTAACAAACATACTGTACAAGCTTTTGTAGACCATTGAGCATGTGTTAGGAACCAATATAGAATTTAAGAGACTCTGCAATGAACCTACTGTCTTTAAACAGTATAAAGAATCTTATTTTGGCTAATCCTAATCTTATTTTGACTACTGAAATATTCAATACAGTATAAATATTGTAGTTTGCTGACAGTGATTCTGTGCTTAATTCACCAAATAGTTCTTTATTTTTTTTCTAAATTAAACTTGTTTAATTTTAAACCTTCATATGCAATATTTTTAAAACAGGTTCCAACAAAAGTCTAAAGAGTTTAGCCCAATTTGTTGAATACTCTGCAATGCATTAGTGCTTATAATCATAATGCCATTTGTCTAATTCAAATTGGTATTTCTATAACTCTCTTTGCTTTATCATTAGATAGCAAAAAAAAAATGTGTGAAAAATAAATACATTTTTGCCAACAGCCACTAATCCTATGTAGCATTTTTTTTCTTGCCTCTGTATGGATGTGTGGTAGAGAAGATGAGGACTTGAGTAAGCTATTAATTCGGCCATGGTTAGTGAAGTGCAGTACAGAAATCTTACATGTTTTGACAGTGGGCAGCAGTTATCACCCATTTAGGTGCAATCAATGCTCCTCCACAAAATATTTCGTTGTTTTTCCCGTGCACAAGCACCATGTAAGGCATGGAGTGTTTTGGCACTTCCTTGCCTCCTATGATTTCAGTGCTGTGGCCTATTAAGAAAAGAAATGACATATATGAATAATATACAGTTGAAGAGACACATACAATATGCTCCTGGAATCTTAAATTATTTCATTCAATTGTTTTTAAAACAGTATTGTATAGTAAAATGTATGGTTGTTCCAAATACACCGACAAATTTAATTCTGTTAAATAAGTACAATGTTTAGTTAATTGTATTTTTAGAAATCCTAAAGAATTCCAAAGCACATCAAGGAGGGGGATCTGCTTTATCCACTTCTGAAGCACAGCCCCTTCTTGGGTGATGTGTAGCTGCTGTTATGACCCCAAAGCCTGAC